TGCTGAACCTTATGTCTCTTTTGATTGCAGCTAGCCAAATTCCGCAGCCTCCTAAGCACTGCTGAGGATGAGGTCGCCTGCTGCTTGCTGAGGAACTACCGGCCCCCCCAGCCTCTAAAGGGACGAGAAGTCAGAAGGAATTAAAGAAGGGATGAGAAGTCAGAAGGAATTAAAGGAGTAAAGCCAGAGTAGTCTCCCTCTGAAACCAAAGGCTGAATTAATTTTAATAGTTAATATACTTCGTGATTTTATTTTTTTTGTGAGTTATTATAACAAATAGGTGTTGTTTTGTTATTGGTTACTATGCAGTCATTTCTCACAGACAAGTATGTCCTGAGTTGTTGCAGGTTCGATGTTAACAGGTCTGACTGTGTTTGAGCGCGTTGGTTTGGGAGCATTGAGGCATTAGCGTTGCGCGGGCAGAGGGCAGTGCTAATCATGAGGGTCAGACGTGCTGAAGGAGTTGTCCAGGATTTGCCACTAAATTGCTGAACAGGATTCCTGATACCAATGGCAGTAAAGGATCTTCTGGGATTATTCTTCTGGTCTCTAACATAAGATTTAGCTTCTATATGAGACTTCACACGGTAATTCTCAAGAAAAAAATACTTCAAGGCTGATATAATTTCATTGCTGACTTCTGCAATACCATGCTTACCTTCCTACAGAAAGCAGTAATGACTAACAGCATTTACGTAAAACATAAATATTTATATATGTATATGAATAAATTTATATAAATATAAATATTTATGTGATCCTGTTGTTCTGACTGCTATGAGCAGTAGTGATGTACTGATTGAAAATTTTTAAAAAAGCAAATACTAAGGGTTTTGCATATTGTGGGATCATGTCAGGTGGATTAGGCATTTTTTCAGGCGTACAGATGAAACTGCCCTGAAGGCTGAAAGCTGCAAGGCAGAAGGGCATAGAAGGAACCGTTCGTTCATGCCTAAACTCAGTCTGTTGCATTTGGTGAACAGTAAGGGACTGTAATGCTATACCCACGTAGCATCAGACTCCTGCCACTTAAAATCAGGAGGCAGGGGTAGCTGTTGCTGTCTAGACTGTTTCATACCAGGCTCGTGGCTCGCCACAGCGTGAGACACGTGCTGCATGCCTCACATCTGGCAGCGGTGCGGGGCACTGCTCTGCTATGTAATGTCTCCTCGTACCGGCTGAAGTTCTGCTGTCATAGCTGAACTTGGGTGGTTGCACTCACATTCCAAGACCAAAGATAGAATTTAGAGCAAGCCAAAGAAATCAGAATCAAGTCAATATGGAATAGAAGATCAGCCCTCAAGAGCAATGTGTTGAAATGTCTGTCTTTATGAATTGACTTGAGCCTGTGTTTCTCTCAGGAGCTTTTGTTATCTGAATATAATTGTTTGTTTTATGCCAAATCTGTTTTTATTTTTTTTTTTTTGATGAACTTGTCATAGGCCGTAGCTTAGTATAGGACTAGATTTCCCTCAGACTCTGAGAACTACAAGTGAAAACCAGTGAAACCTGAAAGAGGCGGCTAGAGTTTTGATGGGCAGTGACTACCACCTGTAGTATTTCTGACCAAACTCATCTTCCACAACTGCTCTCCATGAATTTGCTTTTTCATAGGTTTTATAGACTGTGCCTCTTGCATCAACAGATCTTTTGTTCTTAGATGGACAAATAGGAGGGAAATAACAAACAGGATTGACTTTATATGCCTTCTTATAACTGAATAAACTAGACATAGAGACATAGATATTTTAGCTTAGTTTAAGATAGGTGGATTTTTTTTTGTTTCCTCCTCCCCAGACTACAGCTACAATTGCTGCAAGGCCTCTCAATGCCTTCTGAATGTTTTCTGAAGGAAAGAACACAACTAAGACCGTGGAAGAAATAAAAGACATTTGGCAGCGGCAGGAGGTACAAGTATTAACCAAAGAGGAAAAACCTGCAGGCACTTTTTGTTTTCTGGCATAGAACGCAGCTGAAAAGACCTCAGGAGGGTTCTTTCTGAATGAGGATGTGTGGAAAGTGTGCATGGAGAGAGCGGGAGTGCGTTGCGTGCTTTCACACCCTTTTTTAGACTTAGTGTTGGTTCTGATATGTTTCCCTGTCATGGGAGTAGCTGCAGAGCATGAACAAAATGTTTACAAATTGCATGAAGGTTATAAAGTTTGTTTGCCTGAGAAGAGAAAGTAATAAGGCTACTGCTTCATATCAGAAACAAAAGTTTTACATGTTTTTTAAATATTGAAAACAGTGGAGTTGATCCAGCGCTTTGATATTTATAAGGATTTTATCAAAATAAAAAATGGATTTTACAAACGCGTCTTGTATTTTCTGTTGAAGAGATGCAAGTTTTAGAGAGAAGGTTGCAGTTTTATAACTAGCGCCTGCAGCTTTGGTTTTGGAAAAAATAGTGACCCCTCATTTGAAGTCTATCTTTGGGCAGCATAGTATTAGGTATCTTTTTTATGTTCCAAGTAATATGTCTTTGGCAGTGGTAAGACATGCAATCAATTGTACATGAAGTTTCTGATAGCACTTTTTTGAACTATTCCCTACTTTTATAGCATTATGCAAAGAACTTTTAGAAGAAGACATCATTCACAGTAATTCTCCCCATGTGGAGATGCTGCATCCGCGTTAAATTGACCTAGCATGCTGCTGCATCTGGGCTGAAAGCTGGTGGTGGCATCTGAAAAAGACTAGAGATGCTCAGTTGCCTGAAACCCTTTGGCAACAGCCTCCCTTGATTCTCTCTCTGCTCTGACTGTAAGGTGAAAGCATGGACCCAGTCTCGGCACTGAGCCACTCGATGGCATCCTCAGTCATTAACTTACCGTATGCCCAAGCTGCACTGAATCTCAACCAGATTATGTGACATGCTCCCAGGGAATTAAATCTCAAGTGTGGGCTCTGTGCTGTGCTAAGATGACTCTAGAGCAGACGAGGCTAAAATATGTCCTCACCCCCTGCCAGCTGCAGGTCTCTTTGATCAAGTCTTCACCCTCTGACACACTCAGAGCCTTTATACTAAGAAGAATGAAATGCTCGGTGACCAAAAAACATACAAGGTATTTGCTGAAAATAGGAGCTGTCAAGAATTGTATGTGGCTGGATAGTTGGTCACCCATAAACTTATTCGCAGGATTAAATAAACTGCAATAGAGCCTTGGGGTCACCTCTGCTGGTTTTGGCACAGGAGCGAAGCACTGCGCTCTGCTGTGTTTATAGCCTTTGCCAGTCGTGCTCGTGATGTCTTTCATATTGCAAAGACAGAGTTTAACATCAGCTGGGAATTTTATGTCAAAGAAAAAAACTGGGATGTAGTTGTCTTTCCTTCTGGAGTAGAGTGGGCTGAAGATCTGGCAGACAGCTGTTTGCTGCCATGCATACACCCAACTTGCTACGTACCTATGATTTCTCTGCCCCTGCAGAGATTTTTCTCTCTGTTGCTTCAGCAAAGAGGACTTTTCTGGCTTCCAGGCATGAACTGGGACCTAAAAGTATCCAAGGAATCAATTTCAGGAAAAAAACCCCCAAGTTTTCCAAATACTCAATTTTAAAATAACTTTACTGAAAAAAAAAGTAGAATATGGCATATAAATAACATAATTGAAAGAAATATGTAGTACATTTTTTATAAACTTAATGGAAAGGAAATTTGGGTTTTAGATTCTTGTAGCTTTAGGTAGGCAAGGAGCAGATTGCTAGAGAGAAACCTTGTCTAGCCTTCAGATGTTAAAAGTTGGAAATAATTGAGAGACTTAGGACACCTACAGGTTACAGCCTCAGCATGAAGGTACGAATGCCAGAGGAATGCTGCTCTAGAGATGTTTTTTTCTTTTATCATCTATCAACTAGTATAAAAAAGCATTGTGATTAACTCCTTATTTATTATCTCCGCTGCTAGATAGACTACATCTAACTTCCGGCCTCTTATGTTTTGTTATTGCCCCCACAGTCTGATCTTGCTTTGTGGTTTTAGCTATGGAGTAATGAGTTTGTTCCATTTTTGGTTTTAATTACTGTCGCTTGCCTATGCTCATTTTTCTTTGATTCTTCTTCCCTGGCATCTCTTTACGACTCAGGATAAAAACATTAGCATATAAAGCATCCTACAGAAAATCCAGTAGCATTATATTTCCACCAGCGTTCTGCACATATCGATAGCCTGCTTGTTTTTCGTATTAAGTCTTGTTATTTTTTGTTTGTACAGATCATAGAATCATAGAATCACTATTCTAATAGAGATTTGGTCCATGATATAACCTTATAGATACTGTTATTTCCACACCTTTTATTCATGAAGTGCCTACTCTGGGGGCAGACGGCCTTTTCTGGGTGTCTGCTGTCTTTGTGAGCCAGGAGATAACGCTGAAGTGCTTAAACAAAAATGTTTCTAAATTAATACTTTGGTTCCTGTTTCTGTCAGCCTCTCTATCATTCATGCCGAGTACAGGTTTTCACTGTGGCGAAACATTTGCATGTGTGACCTGTGTTGGCTTCTCTTGTGCAGCAGAGTTTGGGGACAGGGGATGTCTCTGGCAGGAGAGTACTGGATTGTCCTGTGAAAACAAAGATTCTCTGCCTCCTCATAACAGAACTGCTGTGCTGCACAGTCACTTCTATTTTATCAAATTTCACCCACATACTTGGGTACATAAATTTGAATAATTTGTAGATGCTCCTGACAGTTTCCGTTTTCAGATGTAAATCGTACAGGTTGCATGCAACAGATAGATGAAATGTATTCTTTTATGAAGATCTGATTTCATTTTTTTTCTGTGTCTCTCATACAAAAATATTTTGAATAAAGCATCAGCCATTTAAATGTCAACATTTTGCTTCCAATTTTTCTCTTTTCTACAGTTGTATGAACACCAGACAGAAATGTGCTCTCAGTAAAATATTTTTTTTTAAAAAAACCAGCACTTTGGAAGTTTAGAGTTAAAAAAGGGACCGAGTCATCCTCGGTGTTTTTCAGAGAGTCAGTTCTTGATTTCTGTTTTCCCTTTGTCCTGTTTAAACTCCACCTTCTTACATAGTTTGTGATTTCATGAGTAAACAGTTTACCTGGAAATCACTAAGGATCTCAGCAGCCAAACTTATATTCCAAAATTTTTTTAAAATACTCACGGTCATGTAGAAAGCACAGGTACCTATGTATGAATACCTGAAAGAATGCTGCTCTATCCCCAGGTCTGCAGATGGCAGCGGCAATCCAAAAATTGCTGAAAATTATTCAAACAGTATTTGTTGCCCGTTTCATTGCAAATACAGTTA